TAATACATTAAACCTCCAGTGGTCCGGCATCCAATGGTCTGGCACTCCTGATGGTCCGGCACCATCTGGAACCCAGAAGTGCTCCGGACAGCCGGACAATTGGAACTGCTCTTCCCCCGGCTTCCCCAAGTCAGCCGTTGCTGAAACTGACCAGCGGCTGACTCTGGGAAGCCCGGGGCAGAGCAGCTCCAATTGTCAGGCTGCCTGGAGCACTTCCGGGTTCCAGGTGGTGCCGGACTATCAGGAGTGCCGGACCACTGGATGCCGGACAACTGGAGTTTTACTGTAGAATGAAGGGATATCAGTCTGGTCTCACTAAGCCATTAATGGCTCCTGTGCCCATTGAGATCAATGGCAAATCTCCAGATGATTTCAGTAGAATAGAAGTTAGTGCCATATCAGACTTGAGTGATGATATTTATAGCATTGAATGGAAAACAAACTGCATAGTCTTGGTATTGTTAAGATGTAGGTTCCATTTGTGGAATATATAATATAAAATAGTTTAAAATTTGTTCTGTCCTGAAAACCTTGTATGTACATAACATTAAAAAAAAATAATGAAAAGTTTGCCTGACCACCATCTGCCGGTCCTAGTGCTTTAATGGTCTTCTATAATATTTGTTTTAGAAAAAAAAGCAAACCAAAGTATAATACTTCACACACAAAAAATCCAAAAGTTTATTGGAGCAAGTTTATACATTTTAAATGAGCAATTATTTCATCATTCGTCAGAAGAACTTGGAAAACAACTAAAAGACTCTGCGAATGTTTTGAGTCATAATTTGTATTTTATTCCATTCATTGCCCACCTTCTTTCATTAACATTTTTAAAAATGTATATGTCTTATCTATTTTAAAGTATATCTTTATAGAAATATTTAGGCTAATAACCTTGGATAATATACTATAAGCACACCTAGTTGCATAGATGTCATATACAAAGAAAGTAATAATAACGAAAACATAAAATTTGTCAAAGAATAATCATCTTCATAAAATATATGCAACCTAAATATGTATTTGTTGCTTGTACAATATACACTGTATGTATATTCACATTTTACATAGTCCCCCCAATACATATGTAGTTTTTGAACCAAATTTTATCAACAGGTTCACATACATTTACCCCATATATATGGGACTTATGTACATCTGCATATAAATGTCGGTCCTTAGTCTATTTTTCCCTTTAGCATTTTAAATGCACATTAAAACATAAAAAGTACAAAGTACCACTTTAATGCTCTATATTATTCCCTAATATTTTGTTCCTGAAGAAATTACTATCATTTTCTTTTGGGCTAGCAATGTATGAAATTATGCTCTTCTCTGTGTTAGGGCACGGTCTGCCCTCATTCTTTGCACAAAACTATTACTGAAATGTATGGGAGTGCCAAGTACCACAAAGGCAGAATATAGCCTAATTAGAATACAGTTCTAATTAGAGGCCCAATAATTTACTGTCCAAACAATAACTCGGATAGCAATCTTGTTAAATCCCAACAAGATTTGAGATTTTATGGTGCCCTACCAACAAGAAAAAGGGGACCAATCAGAAAAAGTTTGTTTTTCTGATCATAGGTATGAGCATATAAATGTGACTGAGGCATATTTTTAAATATACCATTGTTTTTCCACTCTACTTGACTTTTCATCCTCAAGTACATGCTAGGAATTAAAATGGGAATCCTGCATACCAGCAACAAAATTACTGAAAACTTCCATACCTGATGTATTCAAAAGACTGGAGCAGATAGGCTGAACAGAGGTGCTGATATGTGTGCTTGCAAAACCACATTAAAATGATAGACTCAATGTTGTCCTTGCAAGAGATCCTTAAGATGTCTAACAAACAGCAACATTCATTCTGCCGCTCTACTCTGCACTAGTTAGGCCTCAGCTGGAGTGCTGTGTCCAGTTCTGGGCGCCACATTTCAAGAAAGATGTGGAGAAATTGGAAAAGGTACAGAGAAGAGCGACAAGAATGATTAAAGGTCTAGAGAACATGACCTATGAAGCCAGGCTTCATGAACTGGGCTTGTTTAGTTTGGAAAAAAGAAGATTAAGGGGGGGACATGATAGTGGTTTTCAAATATCTAAAAGGGTGTCACAAGGAGGAAGGAGAAAATTTGTTCCTCTTGGTTTCTGAGGACAGGACAAGGAGTAATGGGCTTAAAGTGCAGCAGGGGAGGTTTAGATTGGACATTAGGAAAAAATTCGTAACTGTCAGGGTGGTCAAATATTGGAATAAATTGCCAAGGGAGGGGGTGGAATCTCCCTCTCTGGAGATATTTAAGAACAGGTTAGATAGACATCTGTCAGGGATGGTGTAGACGGAGCTTGGTTCTGCCTTGAGGGCGGGGGGCTGGACTCGATGACCTCTTGAGGTCCCTTCCAGTCCTATTATTCTATGATTCTATGATTTGTTCAAGGAGCTTCAAACCCGTTTTCACAAGTCAAAGTACTCAGATGTTATGAAAATAACACATAGCAAACCATGAATTGTTGTGGGATACAAGCACACATTGAATAATTATGAATTATGGTCAGATGTCAGCACACTTGAGCTGGCAATCATGATGCACTTAAAGTCTATGTAGTCAATAGGAAGGCCCTTCACATCTTTGCATTCAGTGAACAACCATTTAGGATTGCCAAAAACATAGTATTTGCAGCACTTGCGTGTTCTCAGAACAATTGTAAGACTAGCTTTTAAGTTCACATCTCGGAATATACTTGCTTGACCCTGAAGGTGACAGGCAGTAGAGTAATTTCATTTATGATCTCTGTGGGACTGCTTTCATAAGAACTAATTGTGGACTGCAAGGATTGGGGCCTAGCTATCCTAATGAAAAACAAAACAAAAGCAGTTTCTACTCTTAAACCAGATATTTCCTTGCATTGGTGTGGAACTTGTTATGGCTTGCAGTAGCACTTTACCAATAGGTAGGGAGCAACTAACTTTGACTTCTAATGGTTTTGTTTCTGTCTCTGCTTTTTAGCTAAAAGACAGGTGATTGATCCACCACTTAGTGAAAAAAATCCAGAAATATAATGAGAATGGAAGCAAGCCTCAAAAATCCAGTTTTGAAGTCCATATCTAGATATTGACTTCAACGGAACATTTATCAGCATAAAGGCTAAACAATTAGGCCCTCAATGAGAAATGCTGACCAGTTTCAGTTTTTCATGGTGGTGTTGAATGGCAAAGCAATGTGAATGGTTACATTTCCAATATCTCTTCTGTGCCCAGTTAGCCAAACTTTTTAGAATGTTTACCATCCAGTCAGATTGGGATTTCTTCTAGCTATTTCCCCCTGCAGTTTAGAGCCAAATTATGAATTGATTTACAACTTCTAACTGTCCGATGACTTCAGTGGAGAATTAGTGCAAAATTGAGCCCATGTAGGAGAGAATCTGTACCAGTCATCTACTGTTCTGAAGCATAGTCTCAGTTAAAATTATGACCATGCAAACAAAACACTAATTATTTAAAAAACATGAATAAAGTTAACTTTAGAAAAATAATCATTAGTACTCTTTCCAGAGCAATTGCCCATGTTCCACTGCACTATATTTCATTAATATTTTTCAGAAAAATAATTTATGCAAAATAGCTTAATCAGCATGTGGTGCATCATGAAATAGCCACTGAAGTAGTTCACTGTTCATGTGATGACTAGTGCCTCGGACGAGCTTAATGTGCCACACTGTGATACTCACAAGTGCTGTTATTGCTCTTAAAGAGCACCTGTTTCTTCTGTGTAACTGGCTAGAGTTGGAATGGGGATGAATTTGGTAGATTGTGAAGATTTGGGTGAATCCCTCCAGGTGTCCAAACTGTTTGTTCGGCTTCTGTTGTTGGTAAAAGAAGTCTGTCTTCTGCTAACACCATCAGAATCTTCTTTACTCAGCTTTCGGTTTATTTTTTGACAGCAGGGGAAGCTCTGTATACAGTCTTGCAGGAGGTGTCCACTAAAGAACATATAGATCCATGGATTGCAACAACTGTTTAGACTGGCTAACAGAGCAGTGACTGTTATGACAGTATTTTCAGAATCTATTTAAAAAAAAGCAAATACTGTTTTAGTAACAGAAGGAACATTGCCAACATATATATAGTCAATTTATTCATTTACCATTTAATTGTGTTGATTATTGAACAGAAATGAGAAAAGTAGTCCTTGAACTAAACAGCAACAGACTTTTAAACACAGTAATAAGTACTGTCACTGGTCTGGTTGGGTTCTCACTACTAGTAACCCTTTAGATTGCTTTGGGGGAAATCCAGTTTCTGGTTCTCCAGGTGTTATAAACCCAAGCACTGTCCCAGTCTTGTAGTCCCCAGACATATTGTTAGAACGAAGACCCTCTGTCTTAGGGTACGTCTAAACTACATGCCTCTGTCGCCAGAGGCATGTAGATTAGGCTACCAGACATAGTAAAATGAAGCGGCGATTTAAATAATCGTCGCTTCATTTAAATTTACATGGCTGCCGTGCTGAGTCGACAAACAGCTGATCAGCTGTTTGTCGGCTCAGCGCTGTAGTCTGGACGGGCGAGTGTTGACATCAAAGGCATTTGTCGACCACCCAGATATGCCTCCTGGGATGAGGTATACTTGGGTGGTCGACAAATGCTTTTGATGTTGACACCTGCGCGTCCAGACTACAGCGCTGAGCCGACAAACAGCTCATCAGCTGTTTGTCGACTCAGCACGGCAGCCATGTAAATTTAAATGAAGCGACGATTATTTAAATCGCCGCTTCATTTTCCTATGTCTGGCAGTCTAATCTACATGCCTCTGGCGACAGAGGCATGTAGTCTAGACGTAGCCTTACACTCCATCTAGACAGCTGTGTTCATGGCAACCTACCCAGCCCTTGTAACTAGTATGAACACCTCAGGGTTCCCTTAAATCGTATACATAGCTCTCCCATAATCTTACCAAAGATGAGAGACTTCTAGTTTGCCTCTCCCAGGGGCCCTCATGTCAGAAGTATTACATAAAACACAGAGATACAATCCAGAGTTCTACAATGCTGCTGCTCTTTACTTAATTGTATAAGAAACACACAGGCATTTCCCTGCCCAAGTTTCCTCACTCCACCAGATCACCCTTTGGGCTGAAGTCAGAGACTGACCTGCATCCTTCTTTTACTTGCATCATGAAACATGGAGTCCTTTCTCCACTCAATTAGTCCTCTCCCCTAGGCTGTCCATGGTCTTCCATCCTCCCCATAAGTCTTTCTGTAAAGCCCTAACTAGTCACCTGGCTTTCTTTGCTCTGCATCTGATACATTTCCATTTTCCTACTCCCCCACCCTCTTAGAGAAGGAGAATAAAACTATTACTCCTTTAGATCAGAGTTCACCCCTTCTTCCAAGATGTTATCACCTAAATAGGATCCTTGAGTTCTATGTCCCTCCTCATATCTAATATAGGAAGAGGCAAGACTTGTCCTTCTAGCTCATAATGGATACAACAAAATTGATACAGCAATTTTCATAGTAGCCACTTAAGATCAATCAGAATTCAGCAGTTGTGCAGACAGATCCTCCAAACCACCCCAAGGACACAATCAGGAAGTCCTTAGACAGATAACAGTCCAATTGATTTCAATGAATTGTATCTGAGTAAAGACGAAGGATTTCTCAATTGGGCTCTAAGAAACTAATCCACAAAAGCAGTTAAGTACATGTTAACTTGCAAGTGTCAGCAATGCCATTGGCATTGAGGCTATGCATACACTACCACCTTACATTGGTATAACTTGTGTCATTCAGGGGTGTGAATAAGCCACCGCCTGAGCAACATAAATTGCACTGACTTAAATGCTGGTGTGGACAGTGATATATTGGCAGGACAGCTTCTGCTGACATAGCTACCACAGCTTGTTGGGGTGGATTAATTTCCATCAGATCAGAGCAGGTATACTAGACAGCTTACATCCATACAGTTTCATTGCTGTAAACTCTCTAGTGTAGCCATAGGCTAAGCAAGTGATTTGCTGGACAGGAGGCGCCTCAAATCCCAAACCTGAAATCCTAATTCTAGTAGGTAAAAGTGAAATTGATGTCATTGGCAAAAGAGTAGTCTCAGCAAGGCAAGACCAGAATTTCATTTTAAGTGTTTTTGTCCTAAATGTATATAGATCCTGATCAAAAGCATATTGATGTCAATGGAAAGACTTTGATGTCTAACATTATGGACCTGATTCAAAGAAAGATATTGTTTTTTCCCCTTCAAGTAAGCTTTATCATAGAAAAGCTGCATCTTCTTACCTCTAATAGTTAAATTAAGTTGTTAGATCGTTTCAAGTACTTAGTTAGCATATTCAATTAAACATGCCTCATTTTATGAATATTACGTCTCCACAAGGGTATCTTTACTGTGCTGTACATTTCCGCAGATTTCTAGGATGTCTCTTCATATTAATCTATTTAGCACAGTAAAATGTTCAGACAGGTTTTTTTTCTTTTGATATCAAAATTATATTAGTTTGCCTCAAACCCTCAATTCTATTTATATTTAATCAACTACGTTATGCATTGTGATTTTGGCCTTTATCCCACATTTCTTTGTGATCAAATTATCATCAATAAGAATTTGAAGTACAAATGAATTTAACATCATCTTAAGTTTGTGGCTTCCAGCTATTGATTTACAGGTTTTATATATTTATGATAAATGATAATTACTTCCAGAATTTCATCCATAACAAGGGCAAAATGAATTCACTGTGCTATTTCTTGAATGGATTTTTTTAATTTAAAAACAAAACAAAGTGCATCTTAAATTTTGAATGAATTTTGTTCAAATTAATTCAGCACATAAATCACAACCACTTACCTTGCATTAAATCAGAAAGCTAATGCGACTTTTCCTTCCAGAAGAGATGATTGTTTACAAACAGAAAATTTATAAACTCTTAAAGCTTTTGTAAAACATTTGAGCTTAGCACATTTTTAGGCTAAAGAAAATACTTCTGTATTTTCCTTGGATGAGTGAAGCCAGCTGAAAAGTCAGACACACTGGTTTTTTAAAGGTAAAAGTAGTATAAATCAAGCAGGCAAAATGGTTGGCACCCACCCTGGTTACTATAGGGGGATTAAACGTATTAATCTGGTTGCAAATTTGTAAAGTTACTTTAGTCACATGTTTGCTAGGAAAAAATACTGAAGATTTTTAGAACATTATTTTTTAAAAATCCAGAAACCCTTAGGTACTTTGTAATTGAGTGCAGTGTAAGAAGATTTGCTTGTGTCAATTGAACATGGCACATTGATCTAATCAAAGCAAGACAGCAAAATATTGCACCCATTCCTGCAGTTCTTAATAACAGAACACACTAACTGAAATCAGGGGCACTTGTCCATTTGTACCATTTAGCCCCTCAAGCTTATTTAACTGTAGTACACTGTAGAATCTTCCCTAGATCTCCAAAGGACCTGATTCTGCTCTCATTGACTTTGGTGAGAGCAGACTCAGCATCTAGGTTTAGACAAGTCCCAGACACAAACTTTACAATGAAATGGAATCCCCAAATTAGTTATTTATTTCCGTCTTTTAACCAAATCTTCTTGAATACAAGTAAGTGACAAAACTGAAAGCACACAAGTCTGACACAAGAAAGGCTTCCCAGGGTAACAGGTGTGTTTCATTAATTACTTCACCAAAACATTATGTCTGTCATTCTGCAACAAAAGCAAAACAGTAATTGTGAAACATTCCTGTGATTATTTGCAAGTTATTTAACTCTTACTTGCAATATAAACACAAATAATCCTTTAGTTTATGTAAAACTTTATCAGGAATATGATGATATTTATTCAACAGGCATCCTGAAAGAAATAACTGAGTGGAGTGGAAATAATTCATGCCATCAATTTTTCAGTAGAGCACTACATTTGTTTTACAGGGGAGAGCTGCTTAAAATCAACAGTTTGGTTGTTAAAATTGTTCCTCAAGAAACAGAGGGGGCTTCCTTATCTGAGCCTCGCAGCCACTGTGATCATACTAGCAACTACCAAGAGCAAACAACTAAGGTTATATCTGCACCGGAGGTATCCCGGAAAAACTCTGCTGCGTCCAAGGACCGCGTTTCCTCTTCCGCTTTTTTTTGCTGAAGAGCAAACAAGCTCTTTTGGGGAGCCCTGAATTCCTTGTTCTACGAGGGATAAGGGCTTCCGCTGAAAGAGAAAACTTCTTCGCCATTTGGTCCTGTCTAGATTGGGCCAAATGGCGGAAAAGCCTCTTCCGGAAAAGCAACTGGAAAAAGCTACGCAAATTGTGGAGTGTAATTTGCATATTTTTTTCCAGCAAAGGACTGCAGTCTAGACCTAGCCTAACTGTAAAAAGGCTCTGAATGAAACTATCCTGATTTTCCCCTTATCTAGAGAGATAACCCATGGTCTGCATCTCCTCCCTGCCTCCCAAACACACAGGCCACACACTCCCCCAGATGAGGAAGTACTTTACCTCCCTGTTTTGAGTTACTTCCTAGAATGCTAGAACTGGAGAGGTCATTGAGTCCAGCCCCCCCGTTCTCACGGCAGAATCAAGCACCCTAATCTAGACTAGATCATCCCTGACAGATGCTCTTAAAGAACTTCGGTGTCACTGCGGAGTCACTCCGGATTGGCAGCAAGGAAAACCCGGGCAGGACCACCCCCATCACCTACCGACCCAGGCGAACTGCGGGTCCCAGACGGACCACATCTGGACGGTGAAGAAGGGCGCCCAGCAGACGATGTAGGCCGAGACGATCACGAAGGTCATCTTGACGGTGCGGATCTTGGCACGGGAGATGATCTTGACGCTGCTGACCCAGGGGGTGGGCAGCAGCCCCCGCTGGAAGGCGCCCGCAGGGGGGCCCGGCTTGCGGGGGTTCCCGCCCCGGCGGGTCTTGCCGCGGACGTTGCGCCAGAGGTGGCCGCAGATGAAGCCGTAGCAGGTGACCAGCACCAGCACAGGCGCCACGAAGATGCCGCCGGTGATCCAGGTGACGTAGGCGCGGGGCCCCCAGGGCTGCACGAAGTGGGCCCAGCAGTCGTAGACCTGCGAGCCGCGCTCCACCTCGCTGAGGGAGAAGATGAAGTACTGCGGCGTGCTGAGCAGCAGGCTGAGCGCCCAGGCCACCGCCACCATGGCGTGCGGGCGGCGGGCGGGCTGGCGCAGGCTGCGCAGCGGGTGGCACACGGCCACGTAGCGGTCGGCCGTCATGGCCACCAGCAGGTAGGCCGAGGCGAACATGCCGAAGACCTGCAGGTGCTTCACCACGCGGCACAGCCCGTCGGGCCCGTGGAAGCGGTAGGTCACGTCCCAGCACAGCTGCGGCAGCACCTGGAAGAAGGCCACGGCCAGGTCGGCCAGGCTGAGGTGGCGGATGAAGAGGTGCACGCGGGAGGCCTTGCGGGCAGTGAGGCGCAGCGCCAGCAGCACGAGGCCGTTGCCCAGCAGCGCCGCCGCGAAGGTCAGCGCCAGCACGGCGATCTCCAGCTTGGCCAGCTCCTCGTCCCGCCCGTAGGGGTCCCAGCCGTCGGCGCCGCTCGTGTTGGGGGGCGGCGGAGCCGGGCGTCGGGCCGGGGCTGCTGCTTCCCGCCACCGGCCGCCCCTGGCTACCGTTCCCGGCGGCCCACCAGGGTCCGGGGCTGGGAGCCGAGCGCATGACGCCGCCCGGCGGGACCCTCCCTCAGGCGGCTCGCCCCGGGCTCTGTGCGCTCGGCGGCGCCGGGGCCGCTGCCTTTATCCGCGGGCTGGGGAGGAGCGCGCCAGTCGCCGAGGCTGGTCAGCGCTTGACGCCAGCCGCCCCCTCCCTTCCCTTCCCAGCGGCGCGGCCAGGCGGCCCCCTGCCCTTGCCTCGCCTCCCGCGTAGTCCCAGCCCCGCCCCGCCGGGACCGTGCGCCCGCAGCCCGCGATCAGGACCTTCTGCCTCCCGCCCGGGTCGCTTCTCGGTCGCTCTGCCCGAGGGGAGCAGGGGATGGACTTGGGCTCTGTCAATGCAAAGGGGGGGGGGGCGTGAGCGGCACCTTCGCTCTGGGAAACTCCCTCTGCCTGCACCCTCGGTCCTCAGAGGCTGCGGTGGCTTCCCGCGCTGCGGGAGAGCGGCTGAGCGGGGCAGCAAGGAGGGAGCACAGGCAGGGCGGAGAAGAGCTCAGAGGGCGCTGGTAGTAGCGCACGGATAGGGGGCAGGAGAAAGAGCAAAGGCGACCAGGGCTAGAGAGCGGTAGGTTGGATCGTGGAAGAGCAGTGGTGACACCTTGCAGGGACGGAAGGATAAATAAGGGGAGGCACGGGCATGGTTGCAAGAGATGGAACTGGGTGCAGGAACATGGGAGAGACGGAAGCGTGGTCCGCTCACTACGGAAAATGCGATCCCTCTACCTCTCCACTGTGGAGCTTTGTTTTTGTCAAGGGTCGCAGCTTTACTTGCAAGATTCGTCTAAGTGAGTAGCGATGAGCTACAGCTGATGGCATGCACTCCGAGCCGTCTCTTTTGAAGTCACGGTAAAGAAAAATGTGATCTCCAGCATCATCTATTTCCCTAAATCGAAGAGGAAAAAGAAGACAGCTTCACTCAAACACAGCAGTTATTAATATCTATGAACTATTTTTTCATTCCCAAAATGGAATATCTGTTGCACAGGTTGTGTTAAAAGTAACACTATCATCCAGATTTATCCCTTGTAGCCTTGTAAGTTTCTATCCTATTGCAGACACAGAGAAGAGTGAGAAATATTTTCAACTATTACTCTCCACAAGTCTATTCATCCTTAAAAGCCAAAGCATAGAATTTATTCCAAAACTGAATTTTAGAAAAAGGCAATAATGACAAAGTGCTTTCAAAATTTTCTCAGTTTGAGTTATTTGAGGTAGTAAGAGCAGCATTTTAGAGGAACTGTCTCTGTTATTTTCCCTTTTGTTTTGGGAGGATGGAAAGTGATGTTTTGGCATGTAACAATGTTCTCTGGACCAGTCATAGATCATAACAACAGTACTAGAATAAAGACCAGAAGAGAAGGAAAGAGAATCAACATCACAAACTGGAAACTACAAGTGAAATCTTGACCCTCTTAAAGTCAATGACAAAACTTCATTTTACTTCAGTGTGGCCAAAAATTCATCCATGATGGCAGTAAATAGTAATTTGCTAAAATTCAGCATAGAAAAAGACAGCATGTATCTAAAGCCTCCTCTAAAGTACTATGACTGCAAACATTTTCACAAGTAATCAGTAACTTATTTCTTAAATATAGAAACTAGCAGATAAAGATTTTCCATTTTCTTGGTTTCATAGATTATTCTGGATTTAGGGCAAAATTATTACCCCATTATAATACATAAGAATTTTATAACTGATTTTGACATATTGTCTTAAGTAAAAAATCCTGGTTGGGGTGCCATCTGACTGGAGCAAAGCTGTGTTACTTGGGCTGATTTTTAACTAAAATAGCTTTGAGAAAAATCTGCTTTATAAAAAGATGTAAAGAATAAAATTCATATTTGTTTTTCATTAAAAAGGCAGTTTTGAGATTCTGGTTTTAGAGGACTCTTCTGGAACAACTGTAGATGACAGACTCATGCATTACATTACATACTTCAGCATATACTAAATTTCTTCATGGACATGATTCTGCATTTATTTGTATGATAGCAAGGCTTGCTATCATAAAGCACTCACAGTAGAGCTTAGTTCTCTTCCCAGTGTCATTGGCAAAACATCCATTAATTGTAGTGGGAAAAGGTGCCATCCCTTACTTAACAATTTTGACTCTGTCCCACTGTGTTATGGATTTTGGGAGGTCTTGTTCAGCTGAGGGAGAATTGAGCTGAAAAGTTTGGACAAACTATTTATTATGGGAAAAAATCATTAAAACATTTTTTCATGAAAAAATGATGCCCTTTCCCATCTTTTTTATTGCATTAGTAGGTGTAAGCCATTTGATTACATTTACATAGTGTTTTCTGATTAAATGTTTTAAACTGAAAATTCAGTCACTAACATTTTTCATGATTTTTTTCAAAACATTTTGAAATGGAAATAATTTTGAAATGTCAACAGTTTTCTCAACAGCTCTGATTTAAAAAAAAAAAACAAAACAAAAAACCCATAGTCTGTATAATCTCCTCAACAATCCAGTGTGGAAAAGAGCAGCTAAAATCAAATGGGACAAAGGTTGAGGTCAAATATGTAGAGCCTTGCAAATCCACAGATAACTGCTTTCAGTGCTTTTTGTGACAGTACTGCCCGTCACCTATTTTCCCAGCCCGCAGAAAAGGAATGGGATTTCCCCCGGGTGTACCAGCACCTGTTTTCCTAGGGTGACTTGGCTCCTGACGGAAGCCTGCTCAGGATGCACAGTGTTCTTTTTTCAGCTTCCAGCACAGTACTCTGGCTCTTAAAGGGTCCGCAGCAGCAATTTGGCCCCCAGCGCTGTTTTTTTTTTTTGCTCAACAAGTTTTCCTTTAATTGTTATTTGCTGAACAAGTTTGCCCCAGAGTACTGGTACCTTTTTTCTTACAAAAAAAAAGCACTGACAGCTTTATATTTGCAAGTATATGCATCCACATGTATGGAATTAAAGAGGTAGCAGATTGATAGGACCCTATATGCAGGATTATGAAGGTGTGACTTCAGGGGACACCTGTGCCAACTCAATGGGTAGTGCAAGGTGAAAAACCTTCCAGCAACCTTGCATAAGGCATGTATATGCCCATGTGGAATCAACATAAGCAAGAACTCGAACAAGAACTGAAACAGCTGGGAAGGAATTTAAGGAAATAGAATGTATTTACCCAATTTGGAATCTAGCCAAACACTGGACAAATTACCATAATTGTAAAAAGAGAGCCCATTTCATATCTACAGTCTGGGTTTGTCTACACTTACACCCTCTTTCTGGAGAGGGATGCAATTGAAGACATTCAAAATTGCAGGTGAAGCCGGGATTTAAATATCCCGTGCTTCATTTGCATATTTGCATTATGGCGCTATTTTGAAATTTCACTATTTCGAAATAACAGACGCTGTTAAAGACGCCGTTATTTTGAGAGAAAACCCTTCTCAAAATAATCCTTATTCCTCATACAATGAAGTTTACCAATTATTTCGAGAGAAGGGTTTTCTTTCAAAATAACTGCATCTTAACAGCATCTGTTCTTTCGAAATAGTGCCATAACGTAAATATGCAAATGGAGCACAGTATATTTAAATCCCGGCTTCATTTGCAATTTTGAACATCGTCATTTGCATCCCTCTCTCGAAAGAGGGTGTAAGTGTAGACATACTCTCTGTAAATTAGGATTATAAACAACTGCAAATTCATTTTAACTTAGATTTATTTATTTAAACAGAAAGACCTATTAAAGGAGATAGCTTAACTTTACCAATGGCAAGGATGATATGCAAACACATTCCTAGGAGCCATTTTATCAATTTCCACAGTGGCCCACAGCTTCCCATGATCCCCAACCCAGTCTGTGAACAGCCATGCTTCCTGAAATTAACCCACACTCAGTTTAAGACTATGTGTTGAAGCTAACTGCTATAAAAATGTACTTCTTTATGGAGGAGATATGCCAAGAGCAGACAGGTTATTATAAATAGGGAATAAATTGGTAGTGTGTTCCTGCTTCTAGCTACTTTTTGCATCATAATTCTAACCAAAAGGCAGTGAAACTTAATGTATGCAGAATAAAAGGTGTAAGGGCTCAGATAACGAGAAAGTGTATTTTAATAGATATTTAGTAAGCCTTCTGTAGAGAAGGATTTGAAAAATTATTGTTTTGTTTTATAATCTGTTTTTCTGCTATGCTTACTTGGAGGATTTTGTCATGAGAGTCAGCATTGAGAATGAATGTACTGTAGATTATCAGAGTCAATAAAGAAAATCCCATTCAATTTGTTTTTTCTATGGCTTGTTAAAATACATTTTCAGTCCAAGCATCACTGAGCCTCTCAGACTTTTGGCAATTTAACATGATAGTATTACAATATCCCTATTATAGTATGATTGAAAAAACAGATGCTATATATAGGACCTAATCCTGAAGGATGCCAAGTGTCTTCAGGCTCTACTGACTTTTATGAGAGTTGAGGGTGCTACAAGCCTCCCATATATTATTTTATAGGCTTTTCTCTGGCCCTCTACAACCCCAGGAGTTTCAAGTCATGAAGGGGAAATGCATGTGCTGCACTACATGTTAGGAAATTGCAGCACTTTCCTTTTTAAGCTAGATCAGAATGGAGACAAAAGTGGTGTTTGTTATTGCCTCTTTCCTGAGTAGGCAGGCTCTGTTTGCCTTCGATCCATTGGGCCTAGTGTCTTCTGAGCAGTTCAAGGGCCACTGTAGCTTCAAGAGAGTAGGTCGTTGAATGTGACTGTTTCATGGAATCCAGAAGAGGAACATCCTACTCTGACCCACCATAGTCAAACAGAGAGATTGGAGGGTCTACTTTCCATGTTTTTCACAAGGCTCCTTAAAATATGTCCACCATGACTTTGGGCATTTTGTGCTGATGGCCTGGTTTGTCTCTTCAGAATGTTGTCCTGGAACATCATCTTTCAAAGATAAAATAACAGTGGCAAGGTTTGAGCTTTCAACAATACTCTCTCACATCTTTGCAACTATCTTCATAGATCTCCTAGGTTGGACATAACATCAAACATTGTGTACAAACACTTGTCATGATATTTCTAAAGCCACTAATTTTGGCATTACGTTTTGTGACTGTATTTAGAAAGACTTCACTGGCACACTTGAGAAGAAAATGTTATGCTTTCCAAATTGTTTTGCTTGGTCTGCTACATGATGCAACGTAATAGATATCCCAGACCTTGCTGATAGTGATCAGTTGCATCTCCGCACACTTAAGACAGGACAGGAGTTCTTCCCTATTGTTGGGAGACAAATTGCCTGCTGGTGTCTATGACAAATAATATACCCTCCACAACTCACTTTACTGCTTCCTCTTACTGTGTTTCCAAGAACAAGCGCCAACCTGTGACTGCCACAGTCACACAGAATTTTAAGTGGGAATCTACTGTCTAGAGTAGTTTCATCAGATGCAAAGAAAACCCACCTGCTCTTCAAGTACCCTGATTAATGTATTGTGCATCAAATAACCTTCTATAGTCCCTGGATCCATCCAGGCTTTCGTGAGATGAATGAAATGTGGAAATATGGAGGTTGTTCCATCATAGCCCTATGGCATACAATCAAGACTATAAAGGCTTAACTTGGAATCCATTGTAATGTGTGTATAGTTCTGTCCCTCTTGAGCTCCATGTATGGCTTTTGACTTTTGGCTCAGTATAAAAGTAAATCCAGTATCCCATCCCTTGGTTGCCTCTGGCAAACCTCCAGTTATCCCCCCCGACCAACCTATTCTGGACAGTGCTCTCCTCTGAATGCAGTACAGAAATGGTTCTGCTATGTCTATGAACTCCCTCTCCATAAAGAGGCAATAAGAGGGGGAAGAGTTGCTGAATTTCATCTAGAATGGAAAAAACATTAAATTTTATATAGAGAAGACTGCAAATTTGAAAATAAACTTTTGTTGAGGTAACACTTAAGTTGATCCTGGTTTTGAAATGCTTGATTTGTAACAAATGTCATAAAAAGATTTATTTCTGTTATCCTTTGTCTCAGCTGCTTTCATCACTTTTCTTTTTAAGCTAGATCAGAATGGAGACAAAAGTGGTGTTCATTATTACTAGTGAATGCCCACCATATGTTTTTATATTTATCAATAGGAAATTTTAAAATTCTTACTCTCAAAGGGTGCGTCTAGACTGGCAAGATTTTGCGCAAAAACAGCTGCTTTTGCGCAAAAACTTGCCAGCTGTCTACACTGGCCGCTTGAATTTGCGCAAGAGCACTGACTTTATAATGTACAAAATCAGTGCTTCTTGCGCAAATATTTTCACGCTCCCGCTCAGGGATAAGCCCTCTTGCGCAAGAATACTTGCGCAAGAGGGCTAGTGTAGACAGGCACCTTAGTTTTTTGCGCAAGAAAGCCCTATGGCTAAAATGGCCATCGGAGCTTTCTTGCGCAAAAGCACGTCTAGATTGGCACGGATGCTTTTGCGCAAAAGCATCCTTGCCAATCTAGATGCTCTTTTGTG